TTCAATGAACAGGTTTGTTTTTTTAAATTGAATAAATTGAAAAGGATATTTGTTTTCTTAGTCGGTTGAATTGTGGCAATTATATTTTGAATGTATTGTACAATTTATAATTCAACCATGTTTACAACTTGAATTATTTACCAGCAATAAACGTAAACATATTTTATCACGATATAAAGATTTACGTATTGAAGCATCAAATGATTTTAAAACAATGTGGTTTTGTTTATGTAAGTCATAAAAATCAAAAAAATAAATGATTTGTTTGTTTTCTTTTAGATGAACAACATAAATTATATTTTATTCCTAATCAAATTTATGGTGTTATTCGTGTTAGTCTTATACCTGTTCAAGATATTCGTACAGCCATGATTAGAGTTCTATGTGATATGATTTATGTTATTAATAAACATAAAGATAATTTATTGATATTTGAAAATGAATTTGTTACTGTCATGGATAAATTTGCTAATGAACCTTTAGTTGATAAAAGTTTTAAAGAATATTTAATCAATGCGTATGTATTAATATATATATTTTAATTTCTTTTTTAAGAAAAATATTTGATTTTATAAACAGAATTGATGATTTTTGTAAAGCAAAAAAACTTGCAAGAAATGGTTCAAAATTAGTTGATATGATCGATAATCTTTTATCAAGAATTATTGAATTACGTGCTGCTGTTAATGATAGTGAAACAGCTGCTTTAGATCTTCAAATGCATTGTGTTAGAAGTTTAATGGTATGTATTAAACGAATGTTCTATTCAAGTATTTTAAAGCTCGAGAAGAGATTAAAAGGTAGTATATAGCGTGATAGTGACGGACTCCTAAAGGCCTAATTTAATTACCGTACAAGAGTTTTCCATTGGTCTACTCGCTGAATAAAACACTTGATACTGTATTTTAGTTAGGGATGTATCGAGCCCTAACTTCTTGGGCTCGGATGTCAGGATGAGTGTGAGTAAGAGTGTGGGTGAAAATAGTGAGTGAGAGTGAAAGGGATAGTACCCACACTCACACTCTCAGCCACATCCACCCATTCTCACGCCCATCCTGATACCCGAGCCCTGATCGAGCTCGGTACATCCCTGATTTTAGTATTAGAATTCTGAAAAACTACTATTTCTCTAAACTTTTTATATCAAGCTTCACTTGAAACTTTACAATTCGAAATAGTTTCACAGTGCATTTATGAATATTTTCTTTCTGATAAAAAGCTTCATTTTATTTTATTTTTAAAACTAGGAATTTTATGAACGACTTGGCCATTTACCAATGTATATTAAATATATTTATCAATTATATGAAATGAATGTTCGTTTACAAAATAAAATTGAAGCTGGTCATACATTAATGTTACATGCCAAATTACTTGATGTAATTTATCATACATATTAATTCATAATTGAAACAAATTTTTATATTCGTTTTAGTGGGATCCAGATAAAAATCTTGAAGAAGTTCATTTGAAATATTCACGAATTCATCAAACAGTTAAAACACATGATCAATTAAAAAAACAACTTTTAAGTGATATCATACAATTATTTGATGAAGGAGATGTAAATGAATTTGCATTTTTTCTTTAAACCAGAAATATCATTCGAATATTATTTAGGCTTGGGAAAAAGCAATTGAAGTTTGTAAAGAATTACAAATACAATATGAACAATCATTTGAATATGATAATCTCAGTTCTTTATTAGTACGAAAAAAAACCAAAATACTTTATTTGTAATTAAATATTATTTCTTATTTAGTTAAATCAAGCTAGACTGTATGTACATATAATGGATGCAAGTAAACAACGTTTTGAACAAGAATATTTTCGTATTGGTTGTTATGGAATAGGTTTTCATGATTTTCTTCAAGTAAAAAAAACTTTTTCATTGAATAAATTTCAATAATCACTTATATCTAATAGAATCAAGTTTTTGTATATCGATCTGAAACTGGCCAAAGATTAAGTGATGTTCGAGAAAAACTTCAAACTATATTTCCACATTCAATTCTACTTGATCCTACTACTAATATTGAAGAACATCATCGTCGAAGTACTTCACAATGTAAATTAATTTACTCGAATAAAAACAAATTATAAACCATTGATTTGTTTGTTTTAAAGATGTTCAAGTACAAGTTGTTCAACCAATTTCTGATGAAAAAGCAAGATTTGGAAATAGAAATATTCCAGAAGCTATTCTTCAGTAATTAAATATATATGAAATAATTCAAGCGCAGAAGCTAACTTTCTTCTTATTAAGATACTATCGTTCAAATGAGATCCGTCGATTTACTTATACACGTTTATTTGTACATGAAGATGATCGAGATGCTACATCGGATATTGCTGTAATGTCTAAATTTCTTATTGAATAAAATTATTTTTTTTTGTGTAGAAATTTTCAGCAGAAAAATATGAATTTTCTACTGCGCTTTTATTACCAAATACAACTCGATGGGTACCGGCTGGTTCATCGACAAAAGTAAGTTATGATTTTCTTTTTTTTATATAATCATATCGAATTTAATTTATTTTAAGACTATTTTATCTCCATTGGAAAATGCGATGCATTTACTTGAAAAAACAAATCGAGAATTAAAAGTACTTGTTGAAGCAAATGAAACAGATCGTGAATTAAATGTCACACCATTATCTGGCAAAGTTAGTAAAATAAAAATAATAAAAGAAGAAAATAATCTAATAATATATATTTTAGACAGCAGGAATTCTTGATGCGGCAGTTATGGGCGGTGCTAGTGTAATTGAACAAGTTCGTAAAATATTTATTTTGAAAAAAACAATAATTATATATTTAATTTTCAGGCATTCTTATCGAATGAATATCAAATGAAACATCCAGATGAATATACAAAAATATTAATTGAAAGAATAAAACAATTACTTGCAGATCAAGTAGTTTTTTTTTGTTTTCTTCGAAATATATGTATGTTATTTGTATTTCAATAGATTCCTTTACTTGAACGAGCATTAATTATAATGAGACAAAAATCTAAACCAGATATTTTACCACATGTTGATCATTTAAGTAATCTTTTAATACATCGACAACGTTCAGTTGAACATTATTGTGGTAAACAACAGGTAAATTATTTTCATATTTACTTATTATATCTATATTAATAATATATAGTCACATGGTTTACGTTTAAGTATATTTATGTAAGTAATTTTTTTGTTGTTGTAAATGAATAAAATAACATATATTTATTCAGACCATCAAGTGATCTTTCATCAAATGCATCTATTCATAGTTATCGTTCAAACATAGATCCACAATTACGACAATCAGATTTACAAAGTAAATAGAAATATTTATGTATAAAAATATTCTTTTTCCGCCTTCAATAGGAAGTCGAACATCATCAGCAAATTCAGCGAATACTATATTTAAACCAACAACAACATCATCACCACAAAAAACACCTATTGAATTACGAGAAGAAGTACATATGAAAAATAGAAAAATCTTAAAATTATTGTTTTTAATTTAATATAGTTAACAAGTGTTCGACCACGTCGACCACCACGCACAGCACCATCACTTAGTTCATCAGTTAGTTCTTTAGCAGGAGCATCAAATGATTCACCACGTTCATCTACAACTGATGTTAATGTAAGCGGACAATTTATTATTGGTAAAAATTTATCTATAGAAAAAACTAAACACTTGAATTTTTTTATTTATAGCTTCAGCTAGTCAAACTTTGTTATCAACAGAAAGTTTAAATGAAGAAACAAATGATGAAATTATACAAACGAAAACAGATAATAATCATAAAAAATCACTATCACCTACACATCTATTAGCTAATAAAATTCGAGCATTAACAAAATCTTCAGAAGTAAAAAATTAATATTTTAATATTGTATAAAAATATTTTTATTTAATTTTAGCAATTAATTAATGATAATCCACCACGTCCACCACCAAAACCGCCAAAATTTCTTCGTTAAACATTTATTATTCTATTCTAGTCAGATATTCTTCTATAAAAACAAAATAATCTTATCTTTTTTATCATTCTTTATTAAATAGATCTAAAGTTATTCTTTGTTTATTTCTTATTTATTCTATAGTAATACTATATTTGTACAGCGTGATATTTTTTTGTCTCATTAAAAAGAAATTATGTTTTTTCATTTATTAAAATAATTGAAAGAAAGTGAAAATCTTTAAGAATAGTAAAATCTAGTTTTTGGGAAATATTCAATAAAGTTTTCCTACGATTGTATTTACAATATTCCTGAGATATTAGACATATCCTTTCTGAAAACATAAAAGCTAAACTGATACTTGTATGACTTATATCAATTTTTCTGTTTTTTTCGTGTAGACTAATCTTTATCCTGATTGCATGTTCAACGTTATTAATCATCCGCAATAAGTTTTGCAACAAAGTCAAAAGTGAAAATATCGATCATTGTGACCGATAATTTTGAATATTTTTCTGTAGGAGAACCTAAAAAAACAAACAGTTAAATTTCAATGAAATGTGTATTATTTGAATAGAAAAAATGAAGTTTGTGGAATAACGGTTAACCAACAATCAGCATTTCGTTTTTGCTAGGATGTGAATGTATAGGGAAGATTCACATCCAGGCGTTACATCCTTCCCATACCCTTAGAGTACGGTGGTTCCAAAAATTACGCGGAACCGGAACCACAGTTTCGGTCATTAGAAATGAGAAAATAACGGTTTCGGTTTGGTTCCTAGCGTATAATATAGAACCGAAAACGGACTCGTTAATGTATCAGTTTGATGGTAGAGTACGGCGATTCCAAAAACTACCCAGAATCGTAGTTTCGGTCCGGCTCCGGTTGGGTTTTCGGTACCATTTTTCTAGAACCGCCGTATCCTACAAATCCTCACCCTTCTACATTTTAAAGATTACTCTATTTATCTAATGATTGTAGTCAAGGTTACTGTTATACTTAATTAAAATATCAGTCCTCATTCGAGTTGTAGATAAACATGAACAATGCATTGGCAGTTTTTCAAGAGATATCCTCTTTAATTTCATTGAATAGTTTATTTAATAAATCAATAGAAATATATGATACAATTATATCACTTGATCAAACAATATTTACTCAATTGGAAAATCAATTATCTAAATTAACTATTGAAGATAATGAAATATTTTTATCTGAAAATGATTATTTATCTTCTTTATTACTATTTCTTCTCGAACATATTCCAATTGAAATCAATCTTAATTTATTAACATCAACTCAAACTGATTATCATCAAATAACTCCATCAACATCGAAAATCTATAAACCAGATATTATTCCAAAAAATCAAAACATAGTTCGATATTCATCCGAATCACAACGAATTCTTAATCATCTATTTAAATATTTCCAAGTAAAAAATTTAGAAGAATTTCTTCTTTTAAAACAAAATACTCAACCGATTTATCTTCATTGTCTTCATCATCTAACACCATTATTATTAAAAACTACATATAATCAATATCCCATTGCTATTGAACTATTTGTTCATATTATTACATCAATGAATCAATCATCTTTATCGGATATATTTGATATTATATTTCCTGTTTGTTTAATAACACTAGATGACCCAACAATGGATATGAAATTAATTAGTCTTTATTTAATTGATTATTTACAAAAAAATTGTACAACAACAGAATTATTATTATTCAATCGAGCAAATGTTATTATGTAAATAAATTATATGTGAAGTATAATATATGTCTCTATTTTGCATGTAATTTATTCAAGGTTTTTTTTACATTTTAATTAAAGAAAACAGAAGATGTACTATAGAGAACGTCTATGATTAATAATGAGAGAAGATGTCATACAGTGGATTTCTTTTTTTTCTTCATCAATGGACCAGTAGCGGATTTAGAGGGGCGATCGCCCCCTTCAGAAAATTTTTTCGATTTTTTACAGAAAAAATGAACGAAAAAATAGATTCACACTACTTCGATTGGACTCAAAAATAGTCTTTACCCAAAATCGCCCGCCCCCCCTTCCAAAACCCTAGATCCGCCACTGCAATGGACAAGAGTTTTGTTTCTTAGAGCGAAAACTTGAAATAGGCGTAATACTAGAGAATTCTAAGAGCAGAGGGGTCGAGCGCGATACGCTCCTGGCGATCGTATGTTTCGAAAAATGATTTCATTGATCTATATGGCGTCGCAGACATATCGTCAATCTATAATATAAATATTTATTCAATAGTGTTATATATGCACTTTACTTCTCGTCTAGAATCAGACAGATGCTCATCTAAAATCAACTATTCGATGTAAATTACAGAATTTTTCAAGGCTGCCTCTTGTGATATTTTTTTTTGTAATAAAATGTAATTTCTGAAAATGACATGCAAATATAAATATTTGTTACGATTCATCTGTTTTTAATCATTGTTTTTTTATGATTAAGGTATGGTCTCGAACAAAATTTACATCGTCGTGGTGATAAGATTATATTTTTTGAATGTTTATTAGCAACGACCTTTCGTTGGTTAATAATTCTTGAAAATGAAATTTATGCTGGTAAACATTTATTTATACGTACAAGTCAATTTATTGAAAGATTTATTCGTGATAGTTTATTAGAAATTAATATTGAATATCGTCGTTCATTATTAAAAATTTTACAACATTATATAAATCGTCTTGAATTATTTGCTCTTCGACATTTAAATCATTTTCTTGAACTTATTGATGATTCAATCGATAATCGTTTATTAAGATATGATTCCTTACAAATACTTTTAATAATTATTCAAACACTTAAACCGAGAATTAACATTCATCGATTGAATATTATGAAAATAATAATTCGTTGTTTATTTAAAATTTTTCATGAAGATAAACAAAATATATCAATTATAAATCTTTTGAAAAAATTATTAAAAGAATTTCAATTATCTACAATGAATAATTACGTACAAGATGCATTTCAATCATTAATTCAAACATCTGAATTAGATTTATCATATCGAGAATATTTACAAAAATTTCTCGATACTATCGAAGACATTTAATTAATAGTATAATCTAAAACTCATCAGGGCATATTCTAAGTGAAAATTAATCAATGAGTCAAATTTATTTTATTTATTGAAATACAGTTTCAAGATTTCTTTAATAAATCTATTTGTGATAGACAGTCTAGGTTATGTCTCTTTCAAATAAATTTTTATTGATTGAAAACTTCTAACTGTATTTTAATTTATTAAATATATAAGTCAGATATGACTCATTTATTATATTTTGCTTATCAGATGAAAATTGATGAAGAATAACGAAATATATTGTGATTTTTCTTTTATGTGATTAACATTGATTTTTAATAAAGATTTTGTTATTTACTTTTGGTGATAAATAAACATGATACAATGGATAAAAGATTTTTATTAGAAATGATTAGCGATTAAAGAGTTTTACTATTTCATGTCATTTTAAAATAAAGTAAATATTTTTCAGTATGATTTTTTCACTTTCATTTTAATGTCTGTTCAATGTTCGTAATAAGTTTATGGAGTAAAGTAAGTAATAATAAGAATATTCTTGATTGAATGTAGACAATGAATTACAAAATAACTCAGACTTTGTTAGGGCATATTAGGATGTGGGTGTAAATGAAAACTATCGGAAGTCCAAAGGATACAGAATGTTATTATGAATGAGGGTCAAATATTGCACTGAGAGGATCTTATGGTTTACAAGTGTGTAATTCATTTTTAATATGAACTTTTTCATTAGTAAATTTTCAATGTCGATTTATTCATGTTGTTGAGAATTTCTTTTGAAAGACAAAAAAATATATCAAATATTGACTCCATAACGGAAAAGTTGAAAGTGTTTAGAGTAAAAAAAAATGTCTTTACTGTAGTCATGTCCTATATTTCCTCAATTAACAAGGTGTTTTTTGTAATGTTTGTATAATGAATGCACTTATTCTTTTCCAACAGGTCAAATCTGATTCTGTTTATGTTGTTGACGAAAATTAATCAAGAACATATTATAATGAGTCAATAACAAGCTTCTTAACAGCAGGTCATGTGGCTAATACTAAAGTAAATCTGTTTTCTATTAATACTTATATATAAAAAAAAACTCAATTACATTTATATCGACAAAAATTTTATTGTTATTGTTTCTACTACCAACGATGTTACAATGTTCTTTTTTTTCTTCTTCTTCGTACATTAAAATATATATTCATCAGAAGAGAAAATAATCTATTTTTTTTTCTTTCATCTATGTGCAATATAGAATCTGTAGAATTGTTAAGTATACATGGACATATACAATTAATGATTAGCCAAGAGGAATACTTATAAAAGTCAGTTTCATTTTCTTTTTTTTATTATTATTATTATTTCATCTTCTTTATCGTTTTTACTTTAATCAGTCAAGTTGAGCATCGAAGAAGAATAAACAACACAAAAAAAAAAGAAATTTTTTTTTCTTCTGCTTTTTTTTGAGAATAATTACAATCGATAGAACTCATATTCTATATTTTCTCTATTGTTTCACTACGATAAGGTTACCTGTGTTATTGCTTATGTAGGCGGAAAAGAACAAACGAGAAGTCCTCTCCATTAGCGTGAATTGTCAATACTTTATGCGAAAGACGCCGTATGCCAACTAAAAATAATAGTTAGAGAAGAGAGGAAAAAAATTTCAGTTTTTTCCTTGCTCTCTCTCTCTCTCCCTCTCTCTCTCTTTGTCCTGCCATGGATCATTTGATAGACTTGCAAAGAGAAAAAAGGAAAGAACTGAATAGAAAACAAGTCTACTATATCGTCATAATCAAACTTTGAAAAATCGTTAATTTTTTGACATAACGGCAACGCTTCAAGAATTATTTTTTTTGTATTAATTTCTGCGGCAACAATTGCGTATTTCTCTTTGCACATCATCCTGACAAATGAGTGGCAAAACGTATGACTTAACTATAAATGTATATGTATATATCTTGTTGAACTTATATTTTAGTTTAATGTCAACTGAAATAAATCATAATGGTACTGATGTTACTGATCGTATAGCACTTAGTCGTGCTCAACATCTTAAATCTCGTACTAATCGACCTCGATCTATTTCCGATGATGAAACTGATGCTATATCAGATTGGTCTGAATCAGATCTTGAATGTAGTCCAGTAAGTGATATTGATTCAACATCAAATAATGATGAAATTACTGATTATCATTATCATAATATACCATTTGATGACGATGGCGGTCCAATTGATGAAAGATTACCAAGAGAACCAATATTACTTGAAAATATTTTACGTTTAAATGAAACTCCTTTACCAGTAATCAATGGTAGTCCAACAAATTCACGTACATCATTCTCATGTGAAGTAGGCAAACCTAAACAACAAGAACAACAACAATCATCAAATGTGAATATTGAAAAATCACCGATACAAACTCGAAAACAACTACAAACACCATTATTACCTGCTCGACGTATACAAAGTAAACAAGTATCACCACGTCAATCAACAGCAAATTCTCATGTATTACCTCAAACACCAAATCTTTCCTATAATCGTAAAACAATAACAGCAAATTCTTCGCGACTTTATTTACGTCGTGGAACAACATCAACAAATATTAGTTCAAATACTCAATCGACTAAAGAATCGACATTATCATCAAGTAGTTCACTTCATAGTAATGATGATAATCATAGTCATCAACGACATATATCAACATCACCAATTTCAAGTCAAACATCAACATCACATGGTGTTTTATCTCGTATATATGAAGTTAAAAAAGTCTATGTTGATGGTTACGATTATGGTCGTTTAAGTGATGTATCAGCCGTAAAAACAATTCCACCACGTAGTCGACAAAAATGGGGTACTATTGTTCATCCACCATTTCCATTAGGATATCAACAAATAACTTCCGAACAATTAACACATGCTGTTGAACGTCTTGCAAGTCCTGTTCGATGTCGTGATAGACATACACCTGTACAATCATCATCAAAACGTTATTTATCTGTTGAAGAAACTGAAGCATTAGTAAAAACGATCAAAATATTATTTTGATTGATTTTATTCTTTTTTTTTTAATTTTAGATAAATCGATTAACTAAAGTAAAACCAATTCGATCAACGGATCAATATTGGCCAATCCAGCATCAATCTCGTCCTGTAAAAAATATAAGTAATGCATTAAAAACAAATAATAATTGGAAAGGTGTAGGCATATCGGCTTGAACGATTTTTGCTTCATGTATTTTTTTGCTCGAACTTCTTCAGGGTTTCCTGTCGTGTGCGTGTTTTTTTTTTGAAAAAAAATATTTTTTTCATTATAATTCAAACTAAAATAATTGACACACTTTATGTGGCTTTATCAATTTTAATTAAAATTATATGTGTATATAATGATTTTTTTTACTTTTCGTTTTTATTTTCAAATCGAACAAACACAATAACAAGAAAAAGATAAAGATAACTGATAAATGTGTTTGTACGGTAGATATTCCTTTTTATTGTTTCTCATGAACTGCTTGTGCCATAAATAATTTAGCTAAACCTTGGGCTGCAAATTGTGTGATATTATCACATTGATTATTTATTTGTGAAGCATTGAGTAATGCATTACGTCTTGATTGAGTATAACCTTTTGTCATTCGATCAAAATCTTCATCATAGGCATCATTACGACGATTTGAATCACGTTGATTACGACGACTTTGTTGTCGTTGAACTTGTTTTTGATAATTGACATAACGCATTGCATCAGTTGAAAAATCATCAACACAATCAATTAATGTTCGAAGTTGACGTTCAAGATTTCCACTAGAATAAAAATTCTAAATTAATACTGAAACAAAACAACAAAAAGAGTATTTTACCTTGTGCCTAAATCAAGAAATGTATTTGATTTTGAACTAAGTCTTGCTTGTTCATCAATTTCACATAGAAGTGAATTGACTAAATGAGAATTTCGAAATACAACTGGTAATTCTTCTAATAAATTCTCGAAATTAAGATTTGCTTGTTTTGCACTAGAAAAATAAATAAAAAATATATTAGCACATTTCTTTTTCAAGTAACCTTGAAAATACTTTACAATGTCTAAGAACAATCGAATGACATTACAATAAATGTCATTTTATATTTAATTGAAATTTTAAAAGGATCAGTAGAGGAACATTTTCTCATGTTTATTTCTTTCTTAACAGTACTGTAAAAATTTCATAGCTATTCAATTGTTTATATACATGATATTTTCTGAAGAATCAAAATAGGGATGTACTAATTTTTGATAGTTCTCTCATAGGACGATAAATTATTTTATCAATCGAAAGTGAATTTCTTACCTATCTGGTGAAAAATAATCTTCATTCTTCAAATGTTCAAGTGCAGCAGGTGTTAAACGAAATGCTTTTAAGCTAATATAACCTTGTAAAGCCAATGCTTGATCTATAAGAATAAATTTAAAAAATGAAATATTTTCTTTTTTTCATAATTAACCATAAACAAGTGCGATAGATTCTTCAACACCGGACAATTGATAAGGGACCATTGATTGTGCAAGTGATCGATTGAAACTACTATCATAAAAACCAACTTGTAAATAATCTGAATTGACTCGACGTAAATTACGGATTATATCGGATTGATATTGTTCAAAATCTATAGAAATGGTTTTTTCCGTTTTATAAATATGTTTTTTTCTCGAATAGATTAAATTTACCAAGATCAATATTTTCTGGTTTATTTTGATTTGGAAATGGAAAACAATTCGTTATTTCAAGTGTAGAGTCCTTAACCAAACCAAGAAGACCACCTTGTGCAGCATCAGTGGTTTCTTCATGAGCATGTTTGATAATTTTTAATACAACCTATTTATAATAAAGAAAACTGAATCATTAGATAAAAATTAGATAATTTTCATACCATAGCATCAACAAAAACATCTTTAACTGGATTTGATGTTGATGTCATTGCAGCAGAACCAACTTTTGATGAATAATTCATTTGAGAACTGTTTGATGCCATTATTCTTAATAGAAAATAAAGTCTAAAAAATACACTAAAATTATAGTAGTATTAAGTAATAACATTCTATTCTTGCTTTTGACGAATAGAGGCAAAATAAAAATAAATATTAACGTTCTTCTTCTTATATCTATTGGCGACACAATCAATTCTATTATGATATAAACTGTAGCGCTATACAACTAATCATCATCGATTTGTTAGGAAAAATTAAGGGGAAAAAAACGGTTTAATTTAATTTTTATCTATTTGTTTCCGTTGTTTAAAAAAACGATGAGTACACATCCTATTCGTAATAATAATAATCATTCCCAACGACGATATCGTACAAATAATAATCGTCAACGTCCTGATAAAAAAATTAACGCATCTGCTGAACAAGTATTGAAAAATAAAGATATATAATTTATTGGAGAAAATAAAACATTTATCTATTCAGACTAGATCAGATCTTATTCAACAATTTAATTTTTATTGTGCTAGTTTACATACACGGCATATATATGATTTTGATATTGATGGACAAAATAATCATCGATGCACGGTAGAATAAATAATAATCTAGAAAATCATTTTATTTTGTTATATTAGTTGACATTATCGGTATTTCCAAATTTACAATCAATTGGAAATGGAGGAAAATCAAAACAAGAAGCTAAAGCAAATTCTATCATTGCTTTTCTTGCTCATATGGAAAAACGGAAACAAGTTGGATTATTTGTACCATATCTGGTAAAATTGTTTGTTCTAACAGAAAGTAAAAAAAAGTTTTGAGATCTAATGTATTGTCACATCTATAGGAAAATCTTATAAGCAGAGAAGATTGAAGTCTTTTAGTTATAATTATAAGATGTTATAAGATTCCTTTAAAAATTCATTATTGATTTTATCTAAATTTTAAAATATCTTAAGATTCCAAGTCTTCATCGTAGTATTCAAGTTGAACTACGTCGAGCAGCTGTTTCAACACCAGGTTTAATTAATTTCTTTTTATCTTTATTTATATAAATAGTTAATTTTATTCAGATTTAAATATAAATGCAAACGAATATCTGTTACATGATCGAATAATATCAAAACGTCAAGCAAAGAAACTCGAGCAAATACTTCGAATTATACAACGAATTTGCGGTGTTCGTATAGTAACATGTATGTTTAATTTACTTGAGAAAAACAAAATGAATTAAAGTTTGATTTTGTTGTTTCAGTATCTCAATCATCGAATATGACATTTATCTATATAGTTGGTGCTAAATTACAACAAGACTTAATTCAAGTAAAATTTAAATATTAACAAATAAGAGAAGAAAATTTTATTTTTCTAGCCATATATAAATGCTTTGTTTCAACCAGATAATGAACAGATGTTTAATTATGGTGAAAAATTATTTGATATATTTAGTGATGAGACATTCCTTGACAATGTTTGTCAACGTCTTAAAGTTTTATGTGATAATCATTTAGAAAAATGTAAATTATTTATTCGTGGAAGGTAAATAAAAGCTACATATGAAATTTTTAATTTTTAAGTTTTTTGAAAAAATTTCTAGTTCTGTTAATGTACAATGTTGTTATAATGAATTTGTTATACTTCGTCGTGAATATGAAAATGAATTTCATCGACAACGAAAAAATGCTTATCCAGCAGCAACGACTGTTTCTTCAAATCAGATTGAATTAAAAACTACTACGGAACAGTTAGAATCAACACGTATTGATAATAATGATAAATCATCATCGATAGAAGAAAAAACTGATGATCAATTACCAGATTATTCAAATTATGATGATGATGTTAATGCATCAATCTTAAAAGTATTAAGAGATGAAGAAGATAGTGAAGAAAAAACACTAGATCAAGATGTAATTGAGATATATTCAATAGTTTTGAAGAATAAAAAGAGATTATATTTAGGCAACAATAAAAAAATCACCAAGTATTATTGAAATTTCTGATGATTCATCGGACAGTGCTGAACCAGAAGTTCTTCAAACAATTGTACGAAAACCTATAAAGAAAATAAACCATACACCATTACCTATTCAGTATGAAGATATTTTCATTAGATTTCTTATTTATTTTTATTTACTAGAACTCATCCTGTAACTACTCAACCAATTTTTGAGTATATTCTTTCTTCATCTTTATTTATTTGCTATCTTTATTATTAGTACAAACAATCAAAATATATCTCATGTACCTCAATTACCATTATCAACAGCACGACCACTTCCAACAAGAGTTCTTCGTCATATTGTTTTAGATGGGCAAAATGTTGCTCGAAAGTAAGCAATCAATGTATATTTACTTTATCGTAAACATAACAAATGATATTCATACACTTCACGCCTGTCAGTTTTATGAAACATAATTTAACTATGACTTGAAAAAACACTTATGATTGAATAAGTTTATCTATTTGTTATTCAGATAATTTCAATCTGGAAGTTCATAGTTAAAGTAAGAATGAATGTTTCAGGTAGGAAAGCATATCTCTATATTATTTAGTGATGCTTTTAAATCACCACTGTACAATATCAGTGAAATAGTGTTCAAAAGTTTTGATACAAATTTCACCAGTAAATAATAACTTGACTTGATATGATATCGTACTATGAACGATTACATTCAGTCAAAAAGCGACTATGATATAATTTTGATACAGTATATTTTGTATCTCTACTATGTAATGTAAGCTAAAAAGAAAAATCAAGTACGATAAGATTTTGCATTGAAAAATCTTCAACATGTAAATGGATCTTTGAAATCCACACTACTATCAGAATTTTAAAAGGCAGTTGAGCAAAATGCGTACAATTTTTTAACCAAGATAGTTAGAGTTCTATGGCCTCTACTATTCGATACTCTTCTTTCGAATAGTGAAGGCCACAGCACTCGAGCTGTATTGTACTAGTGTTTTATTTAGCGGATGGACTGAGTGGGCGGCGCTCACCCAAAACACAAGACTTAGACAAAACACTGATAGGCGGCACCCACCCAACATTTCGATTGATACACTCGGAGAAAGAAATCAGGATAAAATACCGTTTTGCCTGACTGCCTTTTCCTAAAATTCCGATAGTAGTTATGTCGTTTTGCAAGAAGAATGTGTATGTAGTGTAGATGAAAATGAATGTGGGTATGGATTGTAAGTGATGTGAAAATATGACATTTATCTTTCAATCTTATTTACTTCTTAAACTTATTTTTGTTTCATAAGAGATGAAAACATTGATATTTAAATGTTTTTCATTTCTGATAAATTTTATTTTATTCCTTATATTTTAATTTTAATCGAATTATTACAGTTCAAATGATTATGATCGCTCATTTTCTTGGTCTCGTCTATTTAATGCAATCCATTATTTTAAAAATCGTGGACACGAAAATATTATTGCTTTTCTTCCTCTGTGTATGCTTTATTATATTTAATTGTTTTCAGACTTCCAACAATTTCAATTACTAACATAGATTTGCGTGATTATTCAAATAAACATCAATCAGCGAATGATGCAACTCGTGAACGACAGCATCGTGATTTTTTAATTAATTCACGTTATATTGCATTTACACCTTCACGATATAATAACGGTCAACGTTTAACAAATTATGATGATCGGTAAAATTTAATCTATATATATAAAAGAAAAATTTCATTGCTATTTCATTGTATTATTAAGATTTATATTACAATATGCAGCTGATAATGATGGAATCGTGGTCAGTAATGATAATTTTCGTGACCTTCAACATGAACAAAGTTTTCAATTTATTATTAATCATCGGTAAGAGTTTTCTGAAATATTTTTTTTGTAGAACTCACATAAAGTTTTCGAGCTTCCCTTTCGCTATTACACACCTTAGTGGTCGGTGTTAAAGGCCATTGGTTACAAATCAAGGCAATCGCTCGTTTCAATCCATTCTAATAGCTAGAAATGAATAGAAATAGCTGAGATTGTGGGTGCCAAGTTGATATTTCACCCACACCCTAAAGCTTTATTTTCATAGTATTTTTTTTAATTTAATATTTTTTAGAATTTTGCCATTTGCAACCATCAATGAGACATTTATGCCTGCAACTGATCCACTTGGTCGTAATGGACCGCATCTTGATGAATTTCTTCTATCGAATAGAATTCTGTGATTATAACGATTGCTTATTTCATAAAAACATATTATGTATATTTTTGTGTTAACTTTTCTTAATAATTTTCTTCTCCTGTTGTTATTAGTTTCTTCACATACATATATTTTTTTTAAATTGCTTAAACAAACATAAAATAAAGATTATTCATTTGAACATATTCATATAATTTCATGTTTTTTGTTTTTCTTCTAGAAAATAATATTTAATCATGTCCGATATAGCAAAATGGGAAATAGCTGATAGACTTCGTGAGCGTGCACGTGAAGATTTATTTGAATTATTAAGAAGTATTGAAGGTACCAAAGATTTATTTATTGATGCTGATTTATTTCCATTAATTGATTTAACATCAACAGCAACTGAAATACGTAAATATGGTGTAGGAAATTTACATAAATTAGATTCAACATTAAATGTTCAAACAAAAAATAAACGTTTATTTTTATTACGACCAAATATGGTACGATTTTTATCATTAGCAAAACAATTACGTCAATTAGATATTCAAAATGCACATTTAATATGTGTACCAAGAAAATTCTATGCATTTGAACATTTACTTGAACAAGAAGGTCTTTGGGGACGATGTAAATTACATGAATTAACAGCATTTGATATGGTTCCTGTTGATTATGATTCATTTTCAATGGTTAATTCACATTTATATTTAAATATTTATTTGGATCATTCAACTGATTGGTTATCAACATTAGCAGCATCATTAACTGATTTTCAAAAATTATTTGGAAAATTTTCAAAAACAATTGCCTTTGGTAAACTGGCAGGACAAGTCCTAAGACAATTAGAAAGAGAAGAACGGTAAGAATTATTACATAGTTCTATATGTTAGGGTCAAAACTAGAATATTGTCAATTCCGACTATAAAA